CATAAATTTTGCATAATTTTTGATGGAAAATTCTTTTAGTGGACTTGCTAACTTGTGTCATACAATATTACATATTGACTTCAGTCATCAATTATTTATGTTAAACTGATATATATATTAAAGATAGGAAATATAGAATTTATTATTTGCTCTGAAATACGCAACTTTTTATTGAATAATTATTGACAGAGTAAATGAATCACTGTGACTTCTCAATATTATTAAATTAAATGGAAGGTGGGTGGAGGGAAAAAATTTTAAAAAAACTAGCCGTTTTAAAAGTGTCTTTTTATGCAATTTTTTCTTTTTTTTTTTTTTTTTTTTGCTCGATATGCATTTTCTTTATCATCAACTGTTTTCCTTATTGCTAAAAGAAAAATTTTCGTGTATCGTTTGGATCCGCCTTACGCAACAAATAAATATCAAACAAATATATAGAGCCTTTTTGGCATTAGAGTGACCGATTGGAATGAAACTGTCTGTTTGTGAATGTTTGTTAAAAATTATCCATTTCATCTTCTTTTTTCTGTCCTATTTATTATTTGATTTGTTATGCTTTTCTTTGTAGTTGAATGATTGATACATACACTGTTGCATAAAATATTCACGCTTTTAAGAGATTCAGAGACTAATTTTTCCATTTCAATTTATAATCATTCTATTCCACGATTTTTTTCAAAAATTATGTGCAGTTTATTTTGTTATTCTTTTTCGTTTTTTATCTCTTTCTCAACTGTGTGTTAGCAGTGCAGCTTAATAGTCGTCATCGTCACAAGAAGTTTTAATATAATTGAGTTTGGTTTTGCAAATTAATTTTGTAAAATTCTGCAGATTTTCATTAGCGGAATTCTTCAAATTATTTGACTTGTTTTAAAGATCATGTTCTTTCTAATGCATATAGTGATGCATTTTATTGGGTGAAGTCCAGGTCATTTTATTGTAACATGTTATAAACATTTAGGAAACATATCAAAACACTCAAAATTTTCACATGAGGTTTTAAAATATTCGTTTTGTTTTTTTGTGCGAAATAAATTTTTTTCTTAAAAAAAAAAGGAAAACATTTCAAAATTTGATAAAATTGTTGACTTTAGCATCAATTTCATTCATTCCGTTCTGAAAAGTTATCATATTATTAATAAAATCGAAAACTGGATATTTTTCCTTTTTTCTCTTGCCTACTTTCTTCTATCAAGACTTATGTGACAATTTTGTTTTCTCTTGGTGTTTTTTCTTTTTTATTTTTAATTTTCTTCCCATCCATGAATTTCAACAAGTTTTCCCAGAAAAAGGAGCGATGTTTTGAGATTAACACGGATACAACAATTATTTGGTGAAGAGAGGAGAAGACGAGAGTGTTTTTTCGAACAGTATTTCAAAGAAAAAATAACCGAAATGCACCCCGTAGGGCAAGGAAAAACCAAATTAAGGATTAACGGATGACGGGAGTAGGGCATAAGAAATAGAAAAATAGAAACGAATGAAATTTCAGTTAAGAAGACCCAATTAATCGGCAAATTCGAATTTCTTAAACGAAAAAAAAAAACAACACTTTTTTCCCGTATTGTTTTTATATAAATATATTTCTTTTTTCTTTTTCTTTCTTTTTTCTCTTTTTTATTTCCGTTTGCTGTCGGAAATGTCTTCTAATCTGAAAAAAGTTAAGGTTGAAATGAACTTTCACTTCTTTTCTACTTTTACAAAAAACGCTATAAATTAAAAGGGATATGAAATGAATTTTATGATTTGCAGAGCCTTTTCTTTTATTATTATAAATTAATTTTCATTCAGTAATACTCATATGTTTCTTCTGTCTAATCTTTTATATTGATGAAATACTTTATCGTTTAATGTTTTGTTAACCACATTTTTTTGATAAAAAGCAGTAATTTTAATTTTCGTATATATATTAATTTCGACTAAATTTTTATGAATTACTACTTAAAAAATTAAACTTCCTTTGATCATGAAGATAAATTCTTAAAATTGATCTCCTTGTAAAATTTTATCACTTGAAATCTATGAGGAATAAAAATTATGAGCTATCACCAGAAAAGAGAGTGAATTGCAAATTTGAATAAAGAGAAAGATAGGTTTTTTCTTAAAATTTCAAAAAAATAATATAAAATTATTAAAAGGTACGATAAGTATTTAGGTATTATTGAACTAAAAACGATTATTTTCTAAGTAATTGCATAACAATTAATGTATACTTTTTCGCGAATTTTTTCGATGTTGAGTTTTTTGAAAATGACAGTTCATAATTTCAACTCTGCAATCTTTTGCTTAAAATTTAAATCCTTGATCTGTAGTTTAAATTTTTAATTTTTCCAAAATACAATTCTTTTAGTTTACAATTTCAATTTTACATTTATTTTAAAAAATGATTTCTCGTTTTTTATGCATAAATTTTAGACATGAATTTTTGTCAAAAAAGGAAAAAGAAAATACTTTTTATTCTAGAAGATAATTTTTTAAGCGTATGTTTCAAATTTTCTAAATTTTTCCTTTTTATTCAAAAAAGTATACAAACGGAAAAAGATCATTTTTCATTCATGGTCATGACCACGAATATCATCACCGTTATATTACTATCGGTCATGTCAGTCAGCTTCAAACAATATGGGCGATTAACGGTTACTTTTCCCACTGGGTTTGGTAAAACTGGTTTACAGGATACATACAAAAAATTAAAAGCAGGATAAAGAGAAAAATGGATGTCTTCTACCTCTGTGTAATTTCATCGCAACAAATAAAATGACGAACAATAAATAGAAAAAACGAAAATAAAAAAAAGAAAACAAGACAAACCGATTTTCCCTTTTCATTTTTTTTTTGCATTTATTTTTTGCAAAAACCCTAATTTGGCATCGTCCATTTTATTATTCCTTTTTTCTTTCATTAAAAAATGAAAAAAAAAAAGTGTTATCAATCTATAGTTCTTGAAAAAAAGAAAAAGAAGTAACCTCTTCTTTCCACTTTTTCCACCTTCTATTATTATTTCTTTTCCGATATGAAAACTTGTTCCATTAAAATGTTCGAAATCTTTCTTTTTTTTTGTCACCACGTTGTATACTGCTGTTTTGTCGAAATGTTGTTTTGTTGAAAATACCTTTTTTCTAACCCATCTCAAACATGAAGGACAGTAGTTTTTTTGGTCTAATTCTGATGATTACTGTCCATCTAACATCGTCGATAATAAATAACAATAACAACGGCACTATATACTGTCATCCACCTACACCTGCCACTACCATCATCATTATCACTGTCGTCATGTAATTGTTACAATGTTTGCTATTGCCATCCATTTCCCGCTATTATTGGTAATAATAAAACAAACAAACAAGCGAATAAGCAAAAAATTGAAAACAAAATCTGCTTTTCATTATAGTTCCATAAAAATTACCAAAGCATACAATTTATTTTTTCATTTATTTATTTAATTTGATTAATTAATTTATTTATACATATCACAAAGTAGCTCAAACGAAGTTTAATTTTACATCATGTAATATTTCATTATAATTACCATTATATTATTATATTATATATTTTAATGTTGTATACTATAATTACTGTTGTATGTTATATATTATATCATATCACATTATATATTATATTAATATTATATTATACTATTATTATATTATCGTAGTTTTTATATTATATATATATATTGTATATGCGATATATATAATTAAACAATAAACGCCTTTTATTTCGATTTTTCCATTCGAAATAAGTAGAAAGAAAAAACATGAAATTTCAGTCATTTAATATATATCTATATATATATATATATATATATATATAGATATCTTTCAGATTCTTTTTTTGCATATATCCAATCTTTTCATCCATTTATTTAGTCATTCATTCACATTTATCTATCCGTGCATTCTTTCATTCAAATCCAATCTCATTCAGTCATTTATTTTTCCCATTAATGGAATTGCTGAAATTATTATTAATTATTGCAAAATTTTTCTATTCATTTTTTCCCATTTGTAATTCTTTTATTACAAATATATTATCACCACTATCGGTGTTATTGCACATATTAAATACATTTGCAGTTTTAAACCAGAAATATTTTAAGTTTAATTCATTTTTTCTAATTCAGTTCAGTTTGGTCTTATTCAATTTGTTCAAATCTGTCCATTTTTGGAAAAAGGAATAAAGATATTTATTTCATTTTCATTGATAAACGTGATGTTTTTTGTTTGGAAAAAGGGGTTGCACCAACAAGTTAAGTTTCTCATCCTTTTCCTTTCTTTTTTTTTCTGTGTCGCTGAGCAAGTGGACATAACAGTGAAATCAGTGGCCACGACGACGACAACAACAGTAACAACAAACCAATAATAATTTTCATTTCTTATCTTCCTGTCTCTTTTTTGCCATTCCGTACTCATCAACTCTTCATCCTTTTAATCGTGTCACTGTCATCTGAAAATCTTCTCACTTTCATCTTTACTTTTCCCCCACCCTCAAAATACATTTTTACCCTTCTCAACTACATACGCCCATCTATCCGTCCATCCCTTCTCCGTTCATCATCAGCCCATCATCCATATTCATCCTTCCGTTCATTTACTTCAAACCTGTACTCTTTTTTAACTTTCCCCTTGATTACACCCTTATCACCACTTATTTCTACAGCCTCTATTGCAACTTCGCTAATATTCACTGCTAATTATCACTGTCATTAATATTGTCATTACAACCAATTTCAAAAATTTCATCGAAACCACAGTCTGTTACAAATTCTTTCGTTTTAAAAAATTTTCAATTTAAAGTTTCATTTCAATTCTATTGATTCTCACGCAAATGGTAATTTCTACCTTGGAACCTTTCACTATTTTTGTCTATTACGTTAACAAAACTGTTTCCCTTTGAGGTTATACAATAAATCATTTTCGGTTGGATGCGAAACGAGGCAACTTATAATTTCTATACGATTGGAACAACGCAAGTTATTACTTCATTTACCAATTCCCATGTTACAAAATGCAAAAAGTAGTAATAGCGTCAGGAACAGCGGCAGTAATAAAATCAGTGAGGGTGAAGATGATGGTACTGATGATAGTAATACTGATACTGGTAGTGGTAGCGGGGCTTTTCAACCAGTTAAACCTCGATCTATGGGAAATTTATCACCTGTGGCATCAACGACAAAAATGGATGAATCGTTGGTTGTGGCAGGACTTCATACTGACGAAATGGCCGTAGATTCGTCCACTCCAACTACTACCACAATTGAAAGACGCAAAAAGAAACCATACAAAGAATTAACTCTAGAAGAAAAAGTTCAGTTGATTCGATTAGCGGAAGAAAATGCTGGAATGAGTCAAGCTAATATTGCGGAACGTTATTCAATTGCTAAAAGTAATGTTTGCCGAATTTTGCAACGGAAACACGAATATCTTCGAGCATATGAATGGGCCGGTTTTGCTGGATCTCGAAAGCGTAAACTTCGTGGTGATCCACAGCAGCATCATCATCATCATCATCATCATCAACAACATCAACAATCACGTGGAAGTGCCAAAAATTTTAATAATTTTCAAACTTTAAAAATGACAAATGCGACAAATTGTACTGTATCCCGTAATCATCCAACAAATTATGTGGAATTGACAACATCAAATGGTAAGGAACGGGCAACTAACGATAATCGTCTTGTTGTACCACAACGTCCTGCAACGATTATACAACGGGGTAATATCATTTGTATTTACTTCGATATTTTCCTTAGATAAATTTTTGCAATTAAATGCGGACTAAATTATAGGATTCCAAATATTTCGCTCTTTCATCGTCTTCTTTCTCTCTTTTTAAACAATTAAAAGAATCCAACAGTTCTTTCCTGTAAATATACTAATAAATAAAACTATCAGTTACTTTTCAATGTCCATTATTGGTCATTTTTCTAACTCTTTTATTGATACCGTTATTTTTTTATGGAATCCGTTATTTTTTAAATTTAACTGTGGGGCATCTTATAGGCTGCTATATCGATTTATTATAATCACATTTTCTTCCATTTTGAAATTTGTATTTTCACTTTAAATAATTCAACTTATAATTTAATTGAATTCACGCCTACTTTACTATTTATTAATTATCACTTTTAATTCAGAAACAAATGAAGGTATAGACTTCAGATTAATTGATGAATTTACTTTAGAGTTATCACTGCTAATTTAATTAATGTACTTTCAAAAAACTATAGCTTTCTTAATTTCTTTTACCAACTTTTATTCTCGAAACTAATTGTTTTTATTAAAGATGAAAAGTTTTAATTACAGTCATTTGAAAGCCATTTCTTTTTGAAAACTATTTCCATTTTTTTCTTTTTGAAAACTATTTCCATTTTTTTTTCACTTAAATTTTGATTATTTAAGAATATTCTTTTTATATACTTTTTTGAAAATAAGCTGATTGGATCTTTTTTTTTATATTACTTCTTTGGATTATATTGAATCTTTATTTTTCTCTTAAAAATTCTTTATTTTGAGATCTTTCTATTTAAAGAAGCATGATTTATTTTAAGCTTTTTTTACTCTCTTAGCTTTCTTAGATAACACTTTTGCTTAGCTATATAGCAGTTTTCATCCAAAATATCATCCATTTTTTTTAGGAATAGATAGGGTCTTAGTAATTAAAATTCTTTCCCTTTCTTACACTAATTATTTTAATATCGATGAATAATTCAACTGATATGATGAAATAATAGAATACAAAAAATGAAGTTAAAATCAAGTTTGAGTATGAAGTTTCGGTGCTGTATTTCAGTTATTTATTAGTTTCTATAAAGTAAGTTGTTATTCTAGTTCATTTTTTTTTCTTGGAAAATTTGACTTTTTTTAGTATTGAGTTCTCATAAGTTATAAAATCCGCACAAAGCATTTTATAATCGTCTATTATATTGCAGCACACAACAATAACACCCTTTCATTATAGCACTAAGTGGTGAGATACCCCAATTCACTGTTCTTTAAATCAGCTTTGTATCAATTGGTATACAACCTGATCTTGTAGTAGGAGATTTAGATAGCATAAATCTGAAAACACGGTATATCTGTCTGGTCAAAATTATTGTGACTTTTCTAAAGCTCACTTAAAACTCACTCAAAAAAAAACTTTTTAATTTCAAAATAATTCTGAAGTATTACACAGCAATCCATCATTTATACTAATTGGTTTAAGGACATTTTCTTTTGCTTCATAAATGTGATAGCTTTAGGGATATGAGTTAATTACCATTTTTCTCAAATATTAACTTCTTTGCGAAATTGAAACATTTTTTTTTTAAATTTTAGGGTACATTTTTTAATATTGTTTTGAATGAATAATTTCTGTAATGCGTTATGAGAAGCAATAATTAAACTTGACTGATTAATTGATTAATTCTTATCTGATCGAAATGTAGCAGCAGCAATTGTCATCATCATCCAGCTGCATAATAATTGTTCACTATTAAAAGAATAGAAGAATGAGCAACAAAGAACCAAAAATTAAAAAATAGAAAAAAAAGGAGATGAATAATGAATTTTAGACTAGACGTACTTTTATATGAATTATAGTATTTAATTTGAAATGACAGAAATACGGGAACTGTCCGTGCTGCTTCATTCCCCACTCTTCCTTGAATAACCGAATAATCCTGAGAACAAGAATAAGTACAAATAAATTGATGGATGGATGAATTCGGTTTTCTTTGTCTTCTTGAAGAAAAAGTAAAATACAGATTCAAAAAACGAAGAGAAAGAGAATTGGAATCTATTAATGATGTGCTACTTTTCATAAAGAAGATAAGTTATGATGAATAGTTTCCAATTCAGTTTTCTTTTTGATAAAGTAGAATTATCTTTCTTTTCAGATTTTATTCTCTTATTTTTTCTACTTTTTTCTATATTTTCATTATGATTGTTAACAAACAAAAAAAAAAAAGCATATGCAGTCAAACTCCAAAATAATAAACCAAGTGCAAGACCAGATCGAAATTAACAAATTGTTGCTACTCATTAATTATAAAGGAAATTGTAAGATTTATATTATTTAGCTTCAAAATAATAAGCGTCGAAAAATGCTTTAATGTTTCTCTATCACCGAAAGAATTAATTACTTTGTTGTCATCCTATTAGGAGAAAATATTGTTCTAAACATATCATATTCATCTTTACTGAGAGAAAAAAGGAAGAGGAAGAAAAGAAAAATGTATCGAAGAGTTTGGCACTTCCATCAAATAGCTTTTTTTTTGAGTTTCTAATTTATTTAAAATTCTTGAAAATATATATGTGTGTGTCATTATCACAACAATAACTGATAATTGACATTCATTCACTGCTTTAATATTTTCATTAATCAATTTGATAAATAGTATCGAATGGAAAGAGAAAAGGAATGGAAGGTATGTATGTAAGATAAGTTTTTTTTAATTATAGTTGAAATTGTACCTACTTTTCTCTTTTTCATAAAAAAACTTCCTTTAAATTCTTTCGATTTTTTTAATATTCAAAAATAATTATTCAATGAAATTTAAATGCTCTTATTATATTTGTGGATAATTTATAGGCAATGAAACACTTCGAGCGCATATGTACAAACAGCATCAAATTTCACGTATGTTTATGTGCCGTTGCTGTAATTGGGCTTTCCCGGATAAAACAAGTTTACATATGCATATGCAGGTACTTTTCTTATTTGTTCATTTTCAAAACTTTTTGCAGAATTGAAACGAAAAAAAAAAATCAAAACGTTTATATAAGTATAATCAAAGCGCTTGTAAATATTTGAAAAAAAAAAAAAAAAATAGAGTTTAATTTTGTTATGATGTGGTAAGTATTACGACAAAAGCAGAAAGAACTGTTACTAATAAAGTTGATGTAATGTATAATTCATTAATATGATAAAGAAAGATGCAATAATAAAATGAAAGGAATTTAAGTAAAAATTGGAAGTAAACAACGACTATGTTAGATTTGATAACTCATATTTAACAAGCTTTAGATGTTTTTAAGATTAAATGGACATTTTTAAACATTCCAATTTTGAGGCAAAAGAAGAAGGTAAAACGATTTCGGTTCCGGTGATCGGTAAAGGTAATCCACCTACTACGCATCAGCATCAACAGGAACAACAACAACAACAACAGCAAAATGAAAATCTAACTGGTCAGACTGGATTGACGGAAAAAGGTCGTCGTTCACCGCAGCTGTCAACGCTTCATGTTCCACAGCCACGAGTTCCTGCAACAAATCCGTTTGCTCCATTGCAGCTCCATTCATTAGTTGGCCTTGCACCACAACAAGCAGTCAGTCTTACCGAACAAAGCTGTAAGTCTTAGAAAGCCAACGGAATCAAAACTTAATATCAATATTTCTTCAATACTTAACAATTATTCTTGCAGCATTGCAAGCAGCAGCAGCAACATTATTCTCGCCAATGGCTCTTCTTCGAGATACATCCGGAAGTGGAACACATGTGGATGATTTAATGTCAAAATTACGTGAACGTCTGATGCTGAATAATTTGGTTGCTCAATCCAGCTTTGGCCTTGCCGCATGGCTTTCAGCTTATCCAAAAATGGATCAGTCAAGTAAAAAACTTTTCTTCTTAATTATTCATGTGCTTATGAAAGCAGAGCGAATATTTCAGACGTTTAAGGATTTAATAGTTTTATTTCCATATATTTTTTCTTTTTTCTTAATTATTGTATGGAAAATTGATTAAATTTATCGTTTTATCATAGATGCAAATGGTGGAAATCCTTTGGATATGTGTTCATCAAAAGATTCTGATGTCAATTTAGCTGCTGAAGAGGACGAGATTAATGTTGACAAAGAATATGACGATGATATGATAACAGACAGGAACAGTACAGAACAACATCAGTCACATATTGTATCATCTTATTTACACTTCTTTTTTGCTTTATTAAAGGAATTAAATATCACTATGACATCAGAATGAAAAGGAGGTTTGCTAGTATCAGTTAGGTATTATATCGAATTGATTGTCCTGCGAAGTTTTAATAATCATTATTAAGATATGAGTGATGAAATTATAATTATAACGATAGAATGAGTATGAGAAGGGAAATATTATACATGAAAGTATCGTCCTTATAGCAGAGAGTGGTAATTTCATTTTTTTTTTTTTTTTCTTATTAGACGAGAAAAAAAAAGTTACGTTTTATGCAGTTATTAAAGTTAATATTTTTAGCAGCCCATTTTAGCATCATGTCCATCATTAATAACTTTTTTGAGATGGAATTAAACGGAAAGACAAAAGTCGAAACATCAGTGAATCTTGAAGAGAACAACAACAATAATACTAACAGTAATATCGAACGACCTAAAAGCGCGAATGTGGTTGCAGATGATAAAAAGTGTGGCTTAAATTCTATTCTAAATTCTTGTAGGAATTTCTTTATCTTGTTTGTCACAAATATTTATAAATCTTTGTTTATATATATGCATATGTGTTAATAAAAAATGCTTTTAGAATACTACACGAATCTTTGTTGAGACCAGCTTCTAATGCTGCTATTGGAAATGTTTCATCTAAAACGATGCCAAATTTACGTTCAGCAATAAATAGCTCCCCAAAGAATGGTAACCTAATATTGAAAAACAATGAATGTAAAGTCCTTTTGAATGGTGTTTCGGTAAGTGTGATAATAATTCATTGTTATTAACAGTACATAGAATGAATTTTAAATAGTTCCAATATTTCACGACATAATTAGGATTTG